ATTACTTTCGGTAAAAATAACAGAGGCCCACTAAATTTCATCAAGAAAAGTATAATCGATCAAAAGAAATTGAATTTATGCTCGAGAAAGCAAAAGAGCAAAGAAATCGATTTCGTTTTTATACATGGATATGTGCACGTACGTTACAGATAGAGGAGGAGACACCAACGGCGGGGAAGAGGAAACAAGATCAGAACTTTCTCCCTGTTGATATCTGTCTATTGTTGGATATACGTGTATATAGCGGACTGTTTGTACATGTATGTATTTATCTACTCATAATGGTGTTCTTCAAGAAGTGATAGATAATTCATTTTAGTTTTTACAACAATTTTTGCTCTCCGGAGACCGAACGTTTCGTGTAAAAGGATTTCCTATTCTTTTCTTCTCATAAATTAATAGTTTAAAAATCCATCCAAACATTTAATTCAAAAAAATTAATAAAATGAAGGCCAATCGATGTTCGAGAAACTAACAAACTTTATATTTTCGATCTAATGTCTGGCTCTTTCGGTCAAACTGATCCGTGAAATCCGACTGACACGAGAATAAAAAACGACTAAGACGAAAATAATTTAGAAGCAAGAATTAATAAAAAAATAACAAAGATGAACGATATTAAATTATAATTAGGATAAGATTAAGAAAACCATGGGAAGAAGCAAGGACGGTAGAGTGCTGGAGCAGGAAGGAATGCCTTTCCAAGAGGAAAAGTATACGCACCCATCTTTATATTAATATTATTTAAGTATTATTTGTCTTTTTCGGGTTTTAGAGAAAAAATATCATATTTAATGCTCTAATATATGATAACTTTTTCTTTAAATATCATGGATACGAATTATTAATCTCATATATGTAGTCAAAGAGAGGTTTTGGAATAATTTTCTACCTTTATTAATAAAATTCAAATATATACGAGGGGCATACTAACATGATTTTCAAATTATCAATGGATCCTAAGATAAAAATCTTTATAATATTCTGAATAATCCATGAATATCGCATTAAAAATTAATGAAATATTTATAGCTCTCACATAAAAAATGAGATTCGTAGATAAGCCATTGCCTCATCAATTAGCTAATTAGACATAAGATCCTCCTCAAAACGAGTTCCTCCTGAACAAGCGACAATTTTGAAATATGTTATATATATATATATATATAGGTTAAAACAAGTTACCCAACTCATTGTATTTGTTTTACTTCAACCGTTGAACTCTTTTGTTTCGAATTAGTAACCCAAATATTTATTTTTTGTTTTAATTTGGGAACTCCGTATACCTTTATTGTTAAATTAGTAAAAAAAAAAAAAAAATTCTTCACTTTGTTCGTATTATCATACATTTAACCAAAATTGGATAAGTTTTTCATTTCTTTGGAAAGCACGTTTCGAAAGTACAACTTGTCTAACAAGTCATTGACGGGATGATGAAGCAATATATTAACGGATTTTTTATATAACGGTGTCTAAGTAAAATAAAACTAGAAGAACTCAATTTATCGATCAAAATGGAAAAAACACTACAAGTCTGATAACTAACAATTTAACCCTATCTGTCTGTGTTTGTGGTAGGAACTATATACTGAGCTAGTTTTCAATATTTGCCAAGTAAAAGTTCTAACTTTAGATGGGCATATGATGCCACAATTTTAAAAAGTTAAAAATATGAATACAATAAATATTAAGTTGGAGATATGGGTGCTGCATTTACTAAAAGTTTGAACTCGACCGGTGGAAATTTACTCTAGGACAATGCTACATTTACAAACTTATTTTACAAAATCTCTTACTCACCACTCACAATTGAGGGTGTAGACCACAAGCCGATATTTTTTAAATTTACGCGGGACTCGCTTTTTTGTGAGAGTGTGTAACACATTTTGTACAAATGTATTTGTACGCATCTCTTTATCCTCTACTCTATTTCCCAACAAAATGTAGTGTTTGGTCCACCATCCACCCATTTAGTTTGGGAGGGTGAGGCAGTTGTATTTTCATGTTAATTTGCCCTTCCGTAGCCCAACGAAACCTAACCACAACAGTCTCCATTGCACTTGGTAATTGCCATGATCTCATCCTACGACTCTACAAAACCTAACTTCATCTTTATTTTTAATGTATTCTCGCTATTATTAACAATTATTTATGCCCTTCATCAAGTTCGAGATTGCCCCTAACTTTTATTCTATGAATATATCTACATTCATTCGTACACTTTGACGATTCAATAAACTGAGTCAAATCGATTAATGTTAAAAAATAAAAATAAAAACAAAAATTTAAATTTTTGTCCATTATAATTTGCGATACCAAACATGGAATGGCTAAATTATATTTTTTTCATTTTTTTACAATATTTCTTATGGGTACACTAGAAGATGAATAAAAGGTTCTATAATGTTATAAAATTATGCACATTTATATCTAGTACCAGGAATTAGATACATCTAATCTACGTCACAATGAGATGTTCTGCCCTTGTTTGAGCCATATTCTTTTGAAAAAATACATTTTCAACAGTCTTTTGACATCATTTCAATTACAAATTCTTTAATAAAATAATATTACACTCAAATTCATAATTTTTCTTTATTTTTTAACCACATATTTTCAATCGATATATTATTTAAAAATTCATCATTCCCCAAAATGGGGCTCAAACAAGGGTAGTTTTTAATGTTGATGCAGCAGTAATGTAGCAGTTGGCAGAGTTGTTGGAGTCGTTTTTCTTGTTCAAATCTTCATTTAGTATTATTAAGTTTAATTTTATAGAAATTTATTATGGATGTAAATATTCCACACCTGTTATACCAATTCCTTAGTTGGATAAGACGTGTCGATGGTGACGAACTTTGATAGAGATCATCTAACTTTAACCATGACTTACACAGACAACTAAGGTCATACACTACTTCCAAAAATGACGGAATTTTTTAGCGGAACTAAATCCAATATGCATACCTTCCTTTTTTTTTTTTTTTTTTAGTGATGAGGGAACCCGCAGTCGCTACCATTCGAGTGCGCATTGAGTAAACTCTCTAGTTGATACAATAGCTTGCAAACCACTCCAATCAGATAAACCGCACTAGGCAAGCCCAGTGCGACAGACTTGACTGAAAAAGTGTTGGTAGGAGGAATCGAACTCCTGATCAAAGGCCTCCTCGCTCATTTACTCCACCAATTCGGTCACCCTACGATGATCCCAATATGCATACTTTCATCTACAAAGCATGTACTACATGGTTGTTCTGAATATTAGGGAATGTGACAAGTTAGAACGATAAATCATGGTCTCCAATAATATTATCCGAGCATGACTTTCACTACCTTTGTTGGGCATGGTTAGCCTTGCGAAAACTCACTCACAGGTGAAGACAACATAAAAATTTAACTGAAAATTAATACATCTATTTGATTATCTTTTTCTACTGAGCGTGTTTGGCTTCAGTATGGGATCCACTACATTTGTCTCTTTTTAGTGATCGAACAATCTAAGTGGTAGAACAGAATTTCACAAAGTAGTATGAAGATTATAATAGTCAAAATAACCAATAGCATTAAGCTTGTAGGGATGGCAGTCGGGCGAGGCAGCTTTTTGCCCCGTTTGCTGCCCTATTTAATTTAATTTAATTTTTTTTTACATTTTAAAATTTCGAATTATGCTATTATTAGATAATAAAATACAAATTCAAAATGAGTTTTTAACGGATGAATTGTCAAGAAATAAAATTTTTTTACTATTATTTTTTTTTCCTCTTAATGGGGTGGAATTTTTTTTTTTTTTTGCCCTATTCATGGTGGGATGAGTGTTTTTGCCATCACTATAAGCTTGAGACACCTAGTAATTTCAAGTCAATCTTTATATACTAAGTGCATGTTTGGTAATGATTTTTCAACCCAAAAAATTAATTTTTTGACTGTTATTTCACTATTTCAACTGTCATTTTTTACTTTTTCTCTCATAGGTAGGACCTACTTTTGTATCTAACGGTCAAAACATTAATTCTCATAATTATTATCGAACAAGCCCTAAGTACTATCCTTGGCACCCACCGGTGCTGGCTAGCATCTGATTTTTGTGTAATGTCTCTAGCAATGTGACTCCATAGTATATGATACTAGATAGAAGGGTGCCCGATCAATCTATATGACTCCAGCAATTTTGCAAATAGAAGGCTTTCGCTTGGGATTTATTTGACCATTAAACTTTCTTTATCATGTTCGACCAATACCTAAGACCCAAGATCAAGCATAAATAAAAAGAATGCAATAACTTTTTATGTTCCAGTTTTGACTATAAACTAGGTGGTGAGGATGAAAGAAAACAAGCATAAGCCACTTTAATCATTTCACTTAAAAGGTAAACAGAGCATTCAGCCAACTCTTATACTGAAAAGTTACCAAGCTATTCAATTCACCTCTCTTCTCTTACCCACCTTTATTACAACCTCCACAGGACTGACCCTGAAAATTTAGAGGCCCCAGACATTTAATTATTATGGGGCCCAAAGAAAACTTTATACAATTCAAAAGAAAAATAACAAAATAAAATTTATCTCACTCAAGCATAAGATTTAACCTTCTCACATTTTGAGATGTAAAATTAGTAATCAAATTACTAAAATCAAATTTTTTCAACATATTTTTTTTTCAATAGAAATCATAGCTAATCACGTACAAGTTCTCAAGAAAATAAATTCTCAAATGAACTTCAAGTTGCACGAGGCAGCATATTGTTTCTGAACTTCATCCTCCTTCCCATTGTAAATATACCATTTTTTCATGGTTGGTTAGGCAGAATTTTTCACCAACTTTAGATGGCAAAGTATTCTTTTTCCACGTCTATCCCTTCCCATCAAAATGGCCCAACTGGCTCACCGTCAGTTATAAATGATGAATCCCAGCACATAAGATTCGGCAGACAGAAATTAAGACAGGATACATATATATGATATTGCCAGAACTGAATTACCTCAACAGTCAGATGGATTCATCAACATCTGGCGTCTCCGGCTACCGGTCGAAGGTCCGTTGCTTAATAAACCAATTGAAGCATTTGTCGTCGACCAGAAAATGAAGCTTCTGACTGAGAAATCAATGGAAAGACAGAGAAGTGAGAAACCATACCGGAATGGAAACATGGATTGGCCAACATAAGCATAAGAAGAAGACAAAGAGGCCGAACCTGTGGTTGGGTAATCGGATTTCGCCATATCTTTTGCAGCTTTGCTGGTTGACTGTAGTTTTTATGGATTTTCTTATTGATATTGTCCTCTGCTTCTCTTCTAGTTTATCACCTACACGATTCTTCCTTTCTTGATAAAAAGGACTCAAGATTTTGTTTGGTGAACATGATTGGAATGGAGAAGAAGGCGGTCAGTTTTCCTCCGTTTTTTTTTTTTTTTTCCTTTTTTTTTTTGGGATGGGCCGTTTTGGGCCTTTTTTAGAGGCCCCTTGAAATTTGAGGCCCAAGGCAGTTGCCTTACTTGCCTTGGGCCAGGGCCGGCCCTGAACCTCCATTTCATGCCATAAGATTGTCCACACGTTATTCTTCTAAAGGGCCTCAGGGACATATACAGTGGGACTGGGCTGGGCTATAGCCTAGTCCAACCCCCATCCCATTTAAATTTTTTATTGTAAAAAAAAAAAAAAAATTATGTGTAAATTCTTATTTTTACATATTAGCCAGGCTTGGAGTTCAATCCTAGATCCGTCCCTATCAAAGTATAATTGGAATCGACCATACAAGTACTAAAAGTTTATACTAGCTTAAGCTTAAGCTATATATACATTTTAGTACTTTTGAACACTTGAAAATCTTTCTACTAGGTTACAAAAATGAACACTTCGTTTACATATTAGCCAGGCTTGGAGTTCAATCCTAGATCCGTCCCTATCAAAGTATAATTGGAATCGACCATACAAGTACTAAAAGTTTATACTAGCTTAAGCTTAAGCTATATATACATTTTAGTACTTTTGAACACTTGAAAATCTTTCTACTAGGTTACAAAAATGAACACTTCAACGACATCCTTGGTATTGAATTGTCCTTTTCCAATTTAAGGTTAGGAAGCCTAAAAATTCTCATCTTAAATTGGATGGCTTTTTTTCCAAAAAAAAAAAGAAAAGGAAAAAAAAAAGTGTATTGCTATCAATTAATCGATTTGAGGCACTCTCTTTTTTATTAACATGATCAAGCAAAATTGTATTTTCATCGGAGAAAGATCAATCTTAGAACACGATTATGTGAAACTTAATCTCGAAAGCAATTGGTGAAGACATAAGCAATTGTTGATCATAAGAATGGACATAAGTGTGTGCAGCTACTTTTCGAAGTTGGAGCAAATTAGCTTATTTTCAAATAATTCGAAATTTATAAAGCAATTTTAATTACATCCAATCCAATAGTGAGAAAGAATTATAAATAAATAAATAAATAAATAATAATAATAATAATAAATATATATATATATA